TCCATCCCTCCATTGTTCTCTCTATGGTGGAAAAAAAGTTACTTTTTTCCCACCATAGAGAACAATGGAGGGATGGGGGCAACCTGTTTGGGGGCCCATAGAATTGGACCCCATGGTCCAATCTTTTTGACACTTGGTGGGTATCTTGGAGAGAGGTTCCAGCAGCCACCCTCCGAGTTTGGAGCCTCTCCCTCAAATTCAGATTTGGATTTATTGGACCCAAATTTTTTCGGGATTCCCAGAAAAACCCGAATATCTATACCGGCAAAGCCCCATATTGTGCCAAATGGCCCATAGGATATAATGGGGCTGAATTGCCGCCGAATTTTGGCGGCAAACTGGCAAAGGCAGGCAAGGCAGCAAGCTGATCTGGGGGCACCCTTTTTGGATGCCCCTGGAATTGGACCCCCTGGACCAATCTTCTCAAAACTTTGGGGGTCATTTTGAGAGATGCTGGAGCAGACACGGTCCACATTTGGAGCCTCTATCTCAAACCCCCTCCCCCTCAGCCCCCTGCAAACTTTCCAGAGGATTTTTGCCATTGACTTCAATGGCCCCATTGGATATAATGGACCTGAATTTTTCGGGTTTTCCGAAAATTTTCTGATATCTATGCTTTATTCGGGGTTTTTTCAGGATTCCTGAAAAAATTCAGGTTCAATAAATCCAAATTTTACCGAATTTTTTTTTTGCACACCCCTAGGAGCAACATGACTGCGCGGTGAAGCGGGATAAGGGAGGTAAGTGTGATCGCGATTATCGAAATCAAATATAATGCTCTCAGCACACCGTCTGACTGCACCCAGTGTCTTTATGGGTGCTGCAGGACTCTTGCTCTTTTCTGCTGCTAACGAGGCCACCCATCTTGATCTATCTCGTTAATTCCTATGGTTGCCGTAAGTTGGAAGAGACTTGGAGGTTCTGAAAGACGCACACCCAGAGGATCCGCTGTTCTAATGCGACTGTGTAGTATGAATGGGAATATAAAAGTTTTTTTCTTCTGATTATTCATATTTATCTGGTTTTATAGATTTTTCTCCTAAGTAAGATTTTATTGGGATGTAATGAAGGCCTATTAAATAGTAGGCCTCCCCAACTCTTCAGCTAACTAAACAAAAGACAGATTTAGCCGCACTATTACTAATCGCTGCAAAAACTTTGATTGCCCAGGTCTGGAAAACTAGTAAAGCTCCTACGATCCGCCAATGGTTTATTAAGGTATGCGATCTAGCTATTATGGACAAGCTAGTTTCACAAATTTTGATGGCGGAAGCTATGCCAAAGAAAAACTATACTCTTAGAGAAATGGTTCCCCTTCTTTGATTATGTTAAAAATGCGGAAAAACAGAAGTTGTAGCCTTCCAAAGAAATATATCAATGTAGTTGTTTTATTAAGCAAGTTGGTATTGTTGTTAACTATTTTTTATTATTTATAATTGATCTCATTTAATTCAGTGTTGATATTCATTGCAAAAAATCAGATAAACGATGTAATTACTATGTTAATACCTTTTATCTTAGAGAGTTCTGCTTATAATACTGTATTATCCTGTTATTGTTTAAATGAAAAAGTTAATAATTTTTTTCTTTTTTAAAAAAAATAGTAGGCCTTCTTCTTGTAGGTTTGATTGATTTTCTAGCTGATGTTAGCAGACATAAAAACATTCTTTTTGTATAGAAGATAGGCATAGAGTTCATGGAGTTTTTTAGTTGTTTAGGGTTCAACTTTCCAGTGTCTGGGTCAAAGGGATTTTAGCTTCGTATCAGAAAAAAACACCTTTGTTTGGGTGTGAAGAATCCTTGGCCAATATTATTCAGGTTCGGTTAAGTAAACATTTTAAGATATTATTTAGACACACCTTTCTTTACATTTGACCAATAAGTGGATTATTACTCAAATGATGTATTGGTTCTTGGTAACTGTATAGAAATATTAATTCCTACAGATATTAATTCCCCTGCCTTCCCCCTTGGAATGTATCTTGCGATCCCCTGCTGTGTTGATTTCCTCTTGAAGCCAAATGGGCTCAATAGCCCTGCCATATACTTCACACTTCCATGCTGGCAGCTACCAGATGGGTGGGTTGGGGTGGAGACCACATGACTGCAGGTGTGGCCTTCAGAGGCTCTGACCATTCAGAAGTTGTAGCCATGACAACCCTACCATTGGGCACACCCAGGTCTACTTCAATTGGCTCCTGGCCAGAGCTAATTTGAAGACTGAATTGCAGTATAAACCCAATGAGAGATTTTCTCTCCCTCTCTCTCCGTTCCTGGGTGTAAGATTTGGGATGGACACTGAAGTGCTCTTGTCCTGCCATGTGGTCTGAGGCAGAACAAAGAACTCTTTTGTGCAGCTGAGCACATGGCTGCATGCTTACAAAGATGGACTTCTTGCTCCAAATCCCTTGGGGCTATTGGACTCTTACCATGGACTATTCTGGACTGATAACTGTTCCTGACTTGGTAAATATACTTCTATTGTGTAGTTAAGGCAAAACTTGCCTAGGTTGCCTAGGCTTGTTACTTTGAATCCTTATAGTCTGATTGCAAGTTCTCTACTGAATAAAACTTATCTTGGTTTATAAATAGTGTCTGGATTGTGGTAACTGGACTTCAAGCTAAATCTTGTAGCCTAAACCGCTGACCAATTGCGCTACCTGTGTAAGATTGACTGTGCAGCTCTGGACAGAGTTGCTAATGTGTAAAACCCACATACCAACTGAGATTCTGGGAGCCTCTAATCTCAGGCTGGTAAGGGTTTAAGCTGAGAGGTTCCTGGTGGCTATTGTTCTTAAATCCAGAGAGCCTACCTTTCTGGGTTATTGAGTAATGTATGGTGCCAGTGTAGAATTCTTTCCCCCATCCCTGTACTGGCCTGGAGGAGAGAATCTACACAGTAACCAATTATGCTTTTCGAATGTTATCTTCGTGGCGATGTCATTTCAAGTATAAAATTTCATGTCCTTCCCGATTTGTGTTCAGAAAGCAGTCAGTTTTTGATAGGCTGGTTTGGCCTAACTGTTTTCAGGTGTCCTGACTGCAATTAAAACACTATGAACCTTCCTCCTCATTTTGACTTCAATTTTTTTGACTGGGAATCTACCTGTATAACAATCGTGAGGGACCAAGTACTGAACAACCCCTCCAGTGGGGAGGGGAAATGGCAGCCGAAGAAAGGGAAACGGATCCGATGCAGGCAGGACCTGCAAAATGCCCCACCTGCCTATCCACACACACACACACACCCCACTCTGACCGAGGTCTTTCACAAACCGGACTTGGGAAAGGCCACACCCAAGGGGCAGTCAGGGGATAACATTGTGTGGATGCTAAACCACCCCCAACCGCACCGCTCTGTTTGGACACCAAAGCGGGAAAAGCTGAGTGTGGGGGAAAGGGACCTGCCCAGCCTCAGTTGCAGGCGGCCACTGAGAAGGCTGAGGGAAGTCAGGATGTTGGCAAAGCCAAGAGTGAGAGGCCAGGAGAGAGGCGGGGAGGGAAGAACCTCAGGGCTACCGATCCGCAGGTCACTCACTCGTCAGTGCGGTAGAGCGCTAGCGCGTGACCCGTGAAGTCGATGACGTCCTGGCCGAGGTCGAAGCGCCGATAGACCTCACGCATAGTGGTGCCGTGCGGATCCACCCCTTCCAGCGTCTTTGGGTCATTCTCGTCGAAGTTCGCCACGAAGACCAGGAACTTGCGGAAGCGGCGCTTCTCAAACATACCCATGAGATCTGCAGGAGCAAGGGAGACGGGAGTAATGATGGCTGGGAGGGAGGGGCACGATGGGGAGACAGGGGCCGAGTGAATGCCCAGATGGTCCTAATTTCAAACCTTGACTCACACAGGGGCCAACCAGTTTCTTTGCACAGCCAACAACAGGGCATAGAGGCCGAGGCCTTCGTAAGAACTTCAGGAGACCCTGCTGGATCAGACCAGGGAGGGTACATCTAGTCCAGCATCCCGTCTCACACGGTGGCCAACCAGTTCGTCTGGAGTGCCAACGACAGGGCAGAGAGGCCGAGGCCTTCCCCTGGTAAGAACCTCAGAAGAGCCCTGCTGGATCAGACCAGTGAGGGTCCATTTACTCCAGCATCCAGTCTCACACGGTGGCCAGCCAGTTCCTCTGGAGGGCCAATGACAGGCTAGAGAGGCCAAGGCCTTCGTAAGAACTTCAGGAGAGCCCTGCTGGATCAGACCAGGGAGGGTCCATCTAGTCCAGCATCCCATCTCACACGGTGGCCAACCAGTTCCTCTGGAGGGCCAGCAACAGGGCATGGAGGCTGAGGCCTTCCCCTGATAAGAACATCAGAAGAGCCCTGCTGGATCAGACGGGTCCATCCATCTAGTCTAGCATCCCATCTCACATGGTGGCCAACCAACCGGGCACAAAGGCCTGGGCACTCCCCTGATGTTCGTCTCCTGGCTCTGGGATTCAGAGGCTTAGTGCCTCTGAACGTGGATGTTCCCCTCAGTTACCGTGGCTAGTAGCCAATGATAGACTGATTCTCCATTAATCTATATCATCCCCTTTTCCAGCTGTTCATTCTTGTGGCCATCACTACATCCTCTGGCAGTGAATTCCACATTTTAATCACTCTGTGTAGCTTCAGATGTACTGTCACGAGTGTCGTTATTTTATTTACATTATTTCCGCCTTTCTCACCGAGAAGCAAGGCAGATTACACAGGGTGAAGTAATACAACTGACGGACAGGATAGTCAATAAACAATGCAATAGTATTCGAGTTGTAGAACCCACCAGAAATCTAAAAACAGAACTTGAAGCAAAGCATAAATCTTAAGACAATATGTTAAATGATGCAAATTAAATAGTAGGATCCTAGTTTTAGTGATACTATACAGTAGTATACACCACAGTCCCTACTAATTTTTCCAAGTAATTTTTTTTAATCATTTAGTGCACTGCAGCTCTCTTACCCGTCTAGAAACACCCTCTTGAATGGTTCAGTTCTGCATAGATTCAGGTGGGTAGCTGTGACGTCCTGCTTATTGGGGAGATTGTTTTTATCTTTAAACCACCCTCTGTGTACCTAAACCTGGTAGATTTCTGCTGCCACCAGGAATTAAAAATTCCAAATCTCTCTCTTTTGGTAGAATGACCCAGGGTCTGGGCACTTCAGACGACTATGTGGCCCTGAGGAAGGACTATTCTGATTTCTGGGATAAGTTTAAACAAAAAATGATTGATTTAATAAAGAACAAAATAGGTTTCTCGTTATTTTGAACTGTTGCTGATGAAAGGAACTTGTAAATATAACTGGCAGAGCTTGGTATCACTGTCTCTCAAACTCCCAAAACTGCACTCTGACCGGCGTAGACACTCAGTCTGATCTCTCTCTCATCTATATAGCCACACAGGCTGAACTGTTTGTCTTATTCACACAGAATAGACTAAAAAATTCCCATAGTCACACAGACTAAGCTCTCTCTCCAAACTTCACACACAGAATCCTCCTCACAAACACCCCTCCTCCCACACTCTCAGTCATCAGCCAATCACATCACACTTGTCTCCCTCTATCACTCTCCTTACAGTACTGCAGTCAAACTAAACATTTAAAGAAACACACACACCAAAACATGAAATCATTACAGTAGCTGTGTCAGTCTGAAGCAACAGAATAAAGTTTGAGTTCAGTGGCACCTTTGAGACCAACAAAGTTTAATTCTGGGTATTAGCTTTCATGTGCCTTTCTGAAGAATATCTGAAGAAGTGGGCACTCATACAAAAGCTTACACCCAGAATTAAACTTGGTTGGTCTCAAAGGTGCCACTGGACTCAAACTTTGTTAAGTTCCGCAGAGTTTGTGGAGAAATACAGAGCCAACTCCCCTGCCCCATCGTCACTGCTCGGTGGTGGTTCCCAGCTTTAGAATGGCGTTTTTGGTCTCAGGAAGGAGGAGGTGTAAAGATTAGAATCTAGTCACTTCTTGGATTTCCAAATCCGAGGCCACATTTGGGATAAATAAAATATGTAATTAACTTTTCTGTTTAGGCAGGCAATTGTGACCTTAGGACAGCTCATTGCAAGTCGCAAGACTTATGTTTGTGAAACAAGTAAAGGAGCTTGCAAATGCAAGAATGCACCCGCAGTGTCTCTGCGTGATTCATAGCTCTGGTCTAGCCTCCTTCCAGTTAGCTTCAGGGCAACTAATTCTGCTGCATAGCCACATCAGGGCGATGGATCTAACTTTTACTTCACACAGAGATACAGCAGAGTCACTCATGCTCAGAGATGCCGTGCCCAGAACGGTGATTCATGCAGATATATATGAAGGACTCCTCTGAAATGGCGGAGCTCTTACTTTTACACATTCCAAAAGTGTAAAGTTCCAAAAGTTACTTTTACACACTCCAAAAGCACCTTTGAGGTGCGAGAATGACGTCTGTCTCCGATTCTCATTCGGGGCAAAGTGCTCCTCAGCTAGAAGACGCTGAGACTCTGCTCTGGGAGGGCCTTGAAAATGCCACGCTTGTGCTTTTATGGTTGTAACAGAATGTACATAAGGACATAAGAGAAGCCAATGCTGGACCAGGCCAGTGGCCCATCCAGTGCAACACTCTGTGTCACACAGGGGCCAAAAATACCAGGGGCCCTCAGGAGGTCCACCAGTGGGGCCAGGACACTAGAAGCCCCCCCACTGTTGCCCCCCCAAGCACCAAGAAGACAGAGCATCCCTTGCCCCAGCCTGAGAGTTCCTATCTACACCTTGTAGCTAATGGCCACTGATAGACCTCGCCTCCATCACTTGCCCCAGCCCGAGAGTTCCTATCTACACCTTGTGGCTAATGGCCACTGATGGACCTCTGCTCCATCACTTGCCCCAGCCCGAGAGTTCCTATCTACACCTTGTGGCTAATGGCCACTGATGGACCTCTCCTTTATCACTTGCCCCAGGCCGAGAGTTCCTATCTATACCTTGTGGCTAATAGCCAATGAGAGACCTCTGCTCCATATGTTTATCTCATTCCCTCTTATAAGAACATAAGAGAAGCCAATGTTGGATCAGGCCAGTGGCCCATCCAGTCCAACACTCTGTGTCACACAGTGGCCAAAAATACCAGGTGCCCTCAGGAGGTCCAGCAGTGGGGCCAGGACACTAGAAGCCCTCCCACTGTTGCCCCCCCCGAGCACCAAGAATACAGAGCATCCCTTGCCCCGGCCTGAGAGTTCCTATCTATACCTTGTGGCTAATAGCCAATGAGGGACCTCTGCTCCATATGCTTATCTAATTCCTTCTTGAAGCCGTTGATGCTTGTAGCCAAAACCGCCACCTCCTGTGGCAGTGAATCCCATGTGTTCATCACTCTCTGGGTGAAGAAGTACATTTGTTCACTTTTTTAAAAAAAGGTTGGAATGCCCACTGCAGGCCTATCCGATCAGATACGAACTTTAAAAACTAAACGACATATATGTTGAGCACTTTAATTGTAATGATATGGTTGTTTTATCCTGTTTTATTTGGCTTTATAGGTTTTATGTATTCTGGCACAGAGTGCCTTCAAATGTAAGCCACCCTGAGCCCGTTCGCAGGGAGGGCGGGATAAGACACCCAATAAATAAGATAAAATAAATAAACCAAATGCAGCACACACACAAATATACAGATCCCTGAGAGGTCAGACAGCAGAACTTTGTGCCGCCTGTTACGCTAGGCCAGGCCCACTCACTGGATCCGAGAGCCTCGGTCTCCGTCGACGGCACCTTGTAGATCTTTCCCGCCTTGTAGACGAAGCTGCCTTCCACCACTTTGAAGTCCAGGTAGCGTGTCACTTCTGTATACAGCAGCATCTTCACCAGCTGGCCTGCGTGGGGGAAGAGAAGAAGAAGAGGAGATTGGATTTATACCCCGCCCTTCACTCGGAGTCTCAGAGCGGCCTACAAACTCCTTTCCCTTCCCCTCCCCACAACAGACACCCTGTGAGGTAAAAGAAGAAGAAGAGATTGGATGTAAACCCCGCCCTTCACTACCCAAAGGAGTCTCAGAGCGGCTGACAAACTCCTTTCCCTTCCCCTCCCCACAACAGACACCCTGTGAGGTAAAAGAAGAAAAGATTGGATTTATACCCCGCCCTTCACTACCCAAAGGAGTCTCAGAGCGGCTTACAAACTCCTTTCCCTCCCCCTCCCCACAACAGGTACCCTGTGAGCAGTGTTCCCTCTAAGGAGCTCTTTTGAGGACTGCCCTTGAGAGAACAGCTCTGAGAGAACTTGAGATTGACCCAAGGTCACACCAGCAGCTGCATGTGGAGGAGTGGGGAATCAAACCCGGTTCTCCAAGATTAGAGTCTGCAAAAAAAACAGAGCGGCTTACAAACTCCTTTCCCTTCCCCCCCCCGCAACAGACACCCTTGTGAGGTAGGTGGGGCTGAGAGAGCTGTTGAAAGAACCGCCCTTTCAAGCACAGCTCTGACAGAACTGTGGCTTGTCCAAGGTCATCCAGCCAGGTGCAAGTGGATGAGTGGGGAATCAAACCCAGTTCTCCCAGATTAGAGTTTCGCGCACTTAACCACGACACCAGGCTTCGTTTGGGCCACTGAAACCCTTCTTGCTTACCCTACGGTCAATACTCCGTATGTGTCGTGATCGCCGTTCCTCCCAAGTCCCGAATATCCGGTTGCCGTTGTGAGACCTCCTGCAGCTTCGAAACAGGCACCTCAGAATGCGAACGGGCTGTGTATTCAGTTCATACACCAGCTTACGTTCCTGGTTTGTTCGGTCGTGCGCACCCTCTCTCTCTTCCTGCTCACGATCCGTTCCAGCTTCCTCCCCGGTGCCTTCCGTTTCTCCACTTTATTTAGTCTCACAATCAACATCTGCTACAATTAACAATCTCCCCCATGTGTTTCCCATCCACCCCGTTCTCTAGTTGTGTTTTCCTGTTTCACGTGTGTTTCCCTCTGTATCCCTGCTCCCTGTGTCCCGGCCTCAGGATCTTGGCGGTGTCGGGAAGTAGCGGCCCGCCCGGTGCCTTCCTCGTTGGACTCCACACAAACGGCTGGTAAAGGTCCTCGTATTCTCACTCGAGCTCGTCCCCTCCTGGGTTTCG